TTGTTCTGATTTTTCTACAGATTTTTTGTGCTGCGAAACCGCATTTTATATGTTTTGCTTTTGTAAAAATTTTTTCATAGATTTAGTTTTTTGCCATACACACGCCCCTGCAACACACATTCCAGGCACACACACACACAYACACATACACATTCATGAGAAACATGTTAGCATAGCAACGAGCGCATAGTCCATATAAATACATATATATAGAGATTCAGATCCAGCGAACAGGGAGCAGGCAAACTGCATGACATGTTGTACGTGTTTATATGCAGTTGCCTTGCCTGCCTTCTGTTGCTGTCGCTGTCGCTGCCAACGTCGGCGTCGACGTCGACGCCTGCTTGCCATCTGTTCGCGCGCTCATCCGTCCAAATGCTGGGCTACGCCCCGCTGTGGTTGTAGTATTATATTTGCGAATCCCTTTGGGTATGTTGGCAGCAATAAATTTTCATCAGTCCTACAACTCTGGCTCTCTTTCTCTTCCTCTTACTCATCCTCATCCTCTTACTCCAGCTGCCGCTACTGTTGCAGCTATTTTTCCTACTTCACGCCAACCGCGCCTCCATCACCATTAACTAACAAACAGCAACACCACCAACAACAACAACAACAACAGACAACGCCCAGCACTTGGGCTGTTGACTAGGCCGGTTCCAGCTCTGTAGATGTAGCTGGAGCTGGGCAACAAATCTCTGGCTCAGCTGGCATGTTCTGTTGCGGCTTTTCACGAATGCGATTTGATTGTTTGTCATATTTTTACGAAATCGTTTCTATTACTGCCCTCGTGCCTGGTGGCAGTGCCTGGGATTTGGCTTCTTGTGTCCTGTGCGCGATAGCGAAATAAATCTGATTGATTTCGAATTAATAGTAGGCTATATAAATTTCGAACGGTGTCAGCTGCGTGGGTGTCTTTTCTTATACAACTAGAGAGATACATAGCTATTGATATACATATATCTGCGAAGGTGATTCACAAAGCAAACCAAATTTATTTCAAATTGAAATTTAGCTCAAGTTCTTCAACTCAACGATTAATTGGTTGAGTGGGTGTTTAGATCGTCTCCTGACGGTCTGTAGACATAATTATTCAGGTAGAAGCGAGACTGTGCAAATCCAGAATTCTTAAGCCTTATCCCTGGACTTGTTATTATTTAAGTCCATATCGTATACTAGTTTTTTTTACTCATCTGTCTGTCCGTCTACCTGAGCAGTCTAGTCTTTGAGAGCTCATGTTTTCTTAGTAACTATTCGATAAATTACATATATTACGAAATCGATAAATATCGATATACCCTAAACATAGCATATCTCATATGATCTAGAACTAACTGTCTACCTGACTTGGATTCTGGTTCTGATATCTGAAGTATTTAATCAAATACATGATATAGAGACTCCCTAAAGTACAAACATGAGAAACACTCTATTTCTGATTCCCATTTTCCCTAAATATTAAAATCAATTCCTATCCCAATACATTTTCATTTAACATTAGCTAATATATTTACAGAAATCAATGGTGCAGTCGGGTATTTCAAAGTCGTGCACATCCGTCTATAGCAACATTTTTCCATTCAAGTCACCTTCCATTCAATGAGCTAAGCTGTCTCAGGGCCCAGCTCCTTTGTAGCGACGAGCACAAAGAGAGCGAAATGTTTCGACACTGCAGCTACTCCCTCTGCATGCCTCGTTAGTTGGTACCTAAAAATATGCTACAGAAAATACAAAGTGAGATTTTTTATAAAATTCCGTCTGAGGCAAAAATCAATGGCAATTGGCAATTGCCAAAAGCACATGGAAAATCTCTGCAGTTTTCTGGCATTTAACTTCGCCTCGGCGCAGCTGAAGTCATTATCACGGCAATAATTAGCAACAGCTGCAGAGTTACAGTTACGTTTACGCTTACATTCTTGAAATGCAAATGGCTGTGTAATGACGACAGCACGAAAGCGTTTTTATTGCCTTTTGGCGATAGTCGCAACTGTTGCAGCAACTGCTCAAACCGTTAAGAGTGGGTGAGGGAGCAGTTGTTGGCAATTGTCTTGCAAGCGGACTGCAGCGTGAGCTAATTAACACGCCCATTGAAAGTAATATGCTGATAGCAATACAATACATTCAAGTGAGATAGATGCAGGTGGAGAGACGGGCTGTGGATAGGTGAGGAGCTATAGATAGAATAGGAGCAGGAGTTGGAGAGCAGATTGATAAAAGCTTGAGCTGGAAATATTAAAAATTAAAGTTGCTAAATTTTGTGATAAGAAATATAAAATGAAAATTCAAGCGGTAATGCTCTGAAATATACAGAAAATATGTGACACTCCCTAATGTGCTTTCGGTGTCTCGGTGTCGTGCATCCTTCTAAAACCCGGAACTCAGCTCAGACAAAGGCATAGCTAGTAGTAGAAGATAGAGCTCGAATTGCACCTCTCTAATTTCAATAGCACCCAAAAATAATCTCGATGCGTGAAAAGAGCAAAGTCAAACAAGTTAAGCTGGAGTCTAGACGTGGTCAAATTAGCCAGCCAGGCGAACCTTGCTTACAACTCATAAGTGTTTTACACCAGCTCTAAAAGTGTATAAAAATTAAATATTTGAAATGCCACCAAAGAGGCATCCACACACTCACTCACACACACATACACACATGTAATCACAGAGAGAATTGCTATGTGGCACGAAATGTTTGCAGCACGTCACAAAAGTTTCCTGTTGAATTTCCCTTCATTTCCTGCCAAAAGAGAGATTATTATTATATTCATTCACTGAGCCATGATTACAGAGAGAGAGAGAGTGAGTAATAGAGAGAGATAGAGAAAGCAAGAGACAGTCGCTTTACTTGGCCGTGTGGCACGTTCATTAACGCATCATTTATGGAGCAAACGGAGTAGAGGCGAAACGGCTCAAGGTGGCTTGCGGAAAGACGGCCCAAGGACTGACCATTTACTCGTATATCCTTGAAGCAGTTCAAGGCCTTGGCCAAGCTGAAGCGACATCGTCATCGTCGTCATCGACATCGACATCGACATCATCAGCGCAGTCGTCTCGTATATTTGCATACTTCCGGCAAACGGCGAACGGCGAACGGCGAAATGATTACCATTATTATTTTTGTTGTTTGCTGTGGCCATAAACGTTGGCATTATGGTTATTACACTACCAGCGGCACACTTTACATTGCCAACAAGCCACGTTCCAAGACCAACGAATGGCGAATGGCCACCAACAGTCATGCGGTTATGGCTTATTTGTGCAAATGAGCTGCTGCAGCTCGTTTATTGTCATATTCCGCTCAACGGCAGCTGCCAGCTAAATGCAAATGTTTCCCCTTGGCCCAACAAGGTGCTAGGGACAACAGCAACAGCAACAGCAACAACAACAACAACAACAACAAGGCCGTATGCTAAGGTCGTCTAGCCTATCTAGATTGATCCATGTTCAGTTGAGCTTAATTGTCCTTCGATGCGTGCAGAGAGCACAAGAGCTGTCCGTCAGGGCCAGCTGATGCATATAACACTCGTTCATGCTTCGAATGGCAACTAAATTCATTAGGAAATCAAAGTTTATCAAAGTGACAGGCCTCAATGAGGGAAGCCTGCAACTTATAGGCATATCTGATGAGGCACAGTGATTTAATTGATTTTCGCTGCATTCATATTTGATGAATTCAAGGTTGCCATGACTCACCTATTACTGTATATATTATTGCAATATTCTAGTCTTAGACAGTCATTGCAATGAATCCATTTTACAATTTTATTTTCTTTTTCTCATAATTGGAAACTTATCTACAAACTGAATTTAAAACAAGTAAGAAAGCTCTAGTCGAGACTACTCGACTACGAGATCCCCTGAACCCTTGGAGTAATAACTAACGGACAGACGGACAGACGGACGGACGGACAGACGGACAGACGGACAGACGGACAGACAGACGGACAGGGCCAAATCAACTCAGCTCGTCGCCCTGATCAAGAATATATATACTTTGTGGGGTCTGCCACGCCTCCTTCTCCCTGTTACATACATTTCAACAAAACCATTATACCCTGATTTCCCATTGAAAATGGGTTCAGGGTATAAATATCCTATAGTACATCTATAATATATATATATCTATGATATATCTAATGTAATACGAATTTCGGCTTTATGAACTAATGCGACTTTCTACTCTCGCCTTCTGATCTTTTGCCGAAATTCGAATTGCCTATTAACAATCAGCAGAAGCATTGCTCCATTTTATATATTCATAAGAATTTAGAGGTAATATAAAATATAAAATTAGCCTATAGAACCCCTATAGAAACCCAAAGTAATACTGTAAATAATCATAAAAAAGAAGAAGATGAAAATAAAGGAAGCTACTTTATATATTACTATATGAGTGGGTATGTCTATTGCCTAATCAAATGCCAAGTACTGTGAAGTAACTCAGCAGTACAGTTAAAAGTTACTGTTGACTTGTGAAACACTCCAGCTTGGTCATAATAGGGGTCCTCTCACAGATCATAGCAGCGCATCATGGTTAAGATTCCTTCACTCTCGCAAGACATATGAAGAGTGTATACAAAAACCAGTATACTCCATGTTCCTCCTCTCTGAGCTGTCACATAAGCTATATAACACATTCCGGCATTTCGTAATAGTTTCAGCAATGAAACTAAATAAACTTGTAGATAAATATTGATCGGCATTAGCGCATAGTATTGAAGGCGTCATCGTTCTGTCGTCATTCGGCTGCCGGCGGGGCCAATGGTTAAGCGCTGAAATTCCATTGCTGGCAACATTTAGCTCCCGGGTCAATGGGGCGCTGGTAGCGCTTCTCATTTAGCGGTCATTACCATACGCAGCCGTCCCCAGCGAGCAGCAGCTGAGTACGTGGAGCTACCCGCGCTGTTTGGCCACAGAAGACCATCGACTTTCGAGCTGTGCAAACCGCTGAGGTGTTTCGTGTAGTCATTCAAGCAGGAGCAGGAGCAGAAGCAGAAGAAGCAGCAGAAGTTGTAAAAGAAGCAGTAGCAGTAGCAGTAGCAGTTGCAGAGAGTCCTGTGAGTCCGATGGCGCCAAATGTGATTACCCACCTGTATTACCTGGCGCGGGATCTGTACGACCAGCACAAGGACCCGCGCGTCGCCCATCTGCCGCTGACGAGCAACTGGGTCAGCGTGCTGCTGATCATCGCCGCATACCTGGCATTCGTGCTGCACTTCGGCCCCAAGTGGATGGCCAAGCGGGAGCCCTTCGAGCTGAAGTTCGTGATGCAGCTCTACAACGTCGTCCAGGTGGTGGCCAACTCGCTGCTGTTCGTCTACGGCCTCTACTACTCGGTGCTGCAGCCCGGCTACAGCATGAGCTGCCAGCCCGTGGAGCACCACAACACGACGCCGCAGATGATGAGACTGATCTACGCATCCTATGGCTACTACCTGCTCAAGTACCTCGATCTCTTCGACACGGTCAGTGATGGGCCTCAGGCGTCAGCAGAGCGCCGCTTAGCTCATGTTTGCTTCCTCTTTCGCAGGTGTTCATAGTGCTGCGCAAGAAGAACTCGCAGGTGAGCTTCCTGCACGTCTACCACCACGCCGGCATGGTCTTCGGCGTGTCCGTGTTCATGACCTTCCTGGCCGGCTCGCACTGCACCATTCTGGGCGTGATCAACCTCCTGGTGCACTCCGTGATGTACGCCTACTACTTCGCCAGCTCGCTGGGCGCCGTGAAGCACCTGCTCTGGTGGAAGCGTCACATTACCCAGCTGCAGCTGCTGCAGTTCGGCTACCTGACGCTCCACTTCCTGCTCGTCATCGTGCGCAATCCCTGCCAGTTCCCAGTCATGATCGCCTTCGTCGGCTTCATACAGAACATCTTCATGTTCTCCATGTTCTTCGACTTCTATTACAAGACCTACATACGCAAGTCCAAGCCGGCCGCTGTGACGGAGACTGAGATTGAGACTGAGACTGAAACTGAGACTGTGACTGTGACTGTGACTGAGACTGAGGCGAGGGCGCCATCAGCAGAGGCCAAGGCGAAACTCAGTTGAGCTCGACGGCAACAAAGTTAAATTCTAAGTTTTAAGTTCTCTATGCCTATGCATCTATATTCAAATATGCACCGATATATACGCACACACATATACATACGTAGTCGGCCTAAGCTCACCCGATATGAATAAACATCGTTTTGACTGGCCTTGAATTGAGCCGCCTTCCAAATTCCATCCGTTCCGAGTGGGGCAGCGGCAGCAGCAGGCAGAGCAAACCTCCGAGCGAGCCACCTTGATTGAATTAAGGTTTTCCGACCAATCAATCGATAATCATTCGATTTCCCACTTCAAATTTGGTTGCCTACTGCGATGCGGACCATGTTTTTCCTGTTTTCAGTTTTCTTTCTGTTCTCTGTTGGGGTTTTTCGGGTTTTTCGTGCCTTGTTTCCTCTTCTGCTTTTGCCAAATACATTAAAACTTTTCTAATAATAAAGTTCGGCAGCCGAAACCAAGCGTAAATATTGAGAACGGAAACTCAAAAGACATGTTCCCCAATAGTGAGAGACAGAGAGAGGGACCGTGACTGAGCGAGAGAGAGAATGCTCCCAGCATCTTTAATGGCAATTGTAACAAGCATCGACTACATCTGCAGCACGAAGCGAATGCAAATGTTGTACTGTAAATTATTTAATATCAATTTGATAGTTCGCAGTTTTTCATTCGTTTCGTTCCATTTGCCTTAATTCCGCCACGGATTTAAAGCGATTAAGAATTTTTATCGTTTTCATCAATGCAAATTTGTTGCCGCCATTATCTCGGCTATAATTTCATTTAATGGAGATTATATCGGCCTTAAATACTTTTTACTCTCCCCACATATATGTGTATATGCATATACTCGTATATGTAAAAGGTGTATTATTTTAATGAGATATCAAGAGCGGAAAAAACACATAACTTGTATACCCTGTACTCGTTGTACGACTATGTGGTGATGTATATAATAAGTAGAAGATGTATTAAGCGATCTGAGCAGATATATAATTTCTAGAAAGTCGCTAAATACATATTCCTCATGTGTTCTTCTGCTGGTACACAAGGAAATCCTATATGCTCGTCATCGATATTAATCGATATTTCAGTAAAGTGTGAAGGTTACATTAACAATTCACACAAAGCCACTGTGACATCTATTTCAATACAAGTACGAGAAAATATAGCAAACTTATGTTTCTCAGTATTTCTAGTAGACTTCCCGCAAATCTAAAAAGTGTCTTATTTACCAAGCTGGAGTCTTGAAATTTTGTATGCACGCAAATGTGATTATCAAATACATTTACTAATAAATTTGATTCAAATCGCACAACTAGAACCAGAGTTAAGTCAAGCTATTGTTCATTGTAGGGGATGTATAAGTAGCAATAATGACTCCACTACCAACATATACATATATGTGGGTTAGGGTACGTCTTATAGAGGAGGCCTAGACTGATTCAGACACTCTCAAACCTGCCTCAGGGTATCTGCTAGTCGTGCATGCCCGAGCCGAGCGCACACAACTTTTTTGTCACAATAAACACTTTTAAATATATGCTCTCATTGCTCGTCGAGCATTTGTAGTTGCCTCGAAACACCTGCGCACTCATTCCCTAAGCAATTTTGTTAATTTGTAAGTACATGGAATCGTAATTAAGTGCAATTTGAAATCTGTGACAGGCAAACACGCATACAACAACGGCAGCTAAATAATTAACGAATAAATCAAAGTAATTAACTTTGGGTCATCATGCAACAGGTCGAGGGGGTCGCAGTGGCCGCTCGAGTTGGGCTGTTGGAGTACGAGTAGAAGTCGAGGCCGAAGCCGAAGCAGGTGTCGGAGTCGGAGTCGGAGTCGGAGTCGGAGTCAGACACGCACATGTTGAAACTTATCTGTGTCCAGTAATTGGCCGAGCCATGAAACAGTGCCGCACACAGTCCAACGCAATTAGTATTGAGGTTGGACTCGGCTAATCGAAGAAGCATGCGAGGGCATTAATAATGCAGCGAGCAGCTAATGCACTGCTAATGCTGGACAAGTTGACGCCCTCGCTCACAGATACCCTAGCCCGGCTGTGTGAGCTCGGGTGACTTTGTGTTTGACTTTGACAAAGTTTCCAATCTGCCAATGGGCGACGCAACTTTGATCAATTTCCTCTACCTCGCCGCTCCCGATCCGCCCTCGAGCTGTGGCCACACTCTGAGTGGAGACTCGAGACTTGAGACTCGAGTAGTTCCATACTTCATTGAACTTTGAACAAGCCAGCGCAATCGCCTTCGCCTTCTGTATTGCAGGACAAAGTTTTTACTGCTCGCACACACACACACACTCTTGCACACACACCTTCGTCATAAATCAATACAGTTGAATTTTTCGTGCATCGTTTGAGTCCATTTGGCTATCCGCACTCGTTTCGAGTGCTGCTCCGCAAGGCGATGTCAATTGGCTCCGCTTGAAGTTCTCCAGACTTTGCCCACAGTCCGAGCGAGCCAAAATATTATAAATTCTGCTTAGTGCGTTCAAAGTCGCTGCTCAGCTGCAGTTAGCAAGCTCTTGACAATATACACATACATATATACATATATATAATGTAAGACTGAGTCCTTTACTGTAACTAAGTCCTTGGAAGTATGGGCCACTCACAGAAACGCATTCCTGTTGCGAATGAGAGCTACTGTAATGTTTTTCATAGCCGAAGCAAAGGAAAAACCTTGGGGCAGCCAAATGGCTGTTGCGAAAATGGAAGGAAAACTACAATAACTGAAACATAAATACATTTTATTTAGTTTCATTTGGGCTTCAACCTAATGGAAAACGAAAAAATACACTCAAACGATTTTGCTGAAATCTGTGTAGCGAGCAGCAGAAGGCGTGGTCCAACCCATTAGCATTATTTGTATTTACGTTTTGGATCCACAGCTGAGCTGATCTAGTTCTATTCTCTAGGTCTCTGCCTCAGTCAGATCCTCTGAAAAATTAATGAAGGCTAGCAGAGAGAAGGCTTATGTTAACCTATGAGCATATTTGAGTTGATCTAGTTCTGTTAAGCCGACGTGACTCCTGAATACCCTGGAAAATGAACTGAAATATATATGAATGTTTTATCTAGAGCAACAGCTCAGTAGATCTAGTTCTAGTCTCTCCCTCTATTTGCTTGCATTTTGAAAACTTTATGCAAACCTTAGCTAGAATATTCCGCATAGCTTCTCTTGACTAGAGTCCGGGTATACCTTAGTCGTGTATTCCCAAGCTTGAGCTAAGTTCCAATTGAACTTTCCTCTGCCATAACTAACTAGAATTAAAAGCAAAGCATTTAGAGGCAATTACCAGCTTGTGTTTTGAACTATATGTGTGTTAGCTGTATGCTAAGGCTTAGTATTTCCGACTAATAAGACTCATAGGGCTGCCGAACTGTATGATAAATCATGGCCGAGCTCGTAAATAAACAAAGTATTTAATACGAAAAAGTAAAATGCAAATTGTGAGCACCGCAAATATTTTACTGGTGGCAAGTGGAAGCGCAATAAATTTGCAACACGGGCGGATGCTGCAGCTGCAGCTGCAGCCAAAAGCTGAAACTGAAACTGGAACTCGAGCTGAAACTGTAGCAGGAGCAGGAGAGCTCTCCTCTGCTCTATGGTGGCTATGGTCGTCGCGGTATGCGACATGCTTCATGCAGGCATTGCTTGAACTCAGTAGGGCCAGGTCTAGGGGCAGGGCCAAGCGACTTCCTGCAAATGTCAATGTGTTGCGCTCCAATATGGTTGCTGTTGTTGTTGCTGGCGCACGTTGGCTTCCAAAATGCACTAAACATAAACTAAAAGCAACAATAACAACGACAACAACAACAAGCTGCAAGCCACATACCCACAGCAACCAAACTGTGGAGGCAACCCTCGCTGTGCTTAATAACTTCGTTTTTTTGCAAGCCACGCAACTGCGGCCAAGTCCAAAACTTTGCAACTCTGTTTCGACCTGGCCCGCACAGCCTCATGCAATTTCCATCGAACCAACACATATAAATTTATTATTAAAAGTGCGAGTGCTCCTGCCCATAGACTACTCTATTTTAGGGCAGAGTGTGCGAAGCGGTGACACTAATGGGCATAGCAAGCATATGCAAAATCGTTAATGTAGAAAGGAGTTCAAGGGAAGACAGTCCAGATGAGACTGCCTAAGTAGGAGTCGCACTCCATAGTCGACTATACTTCAGGTATAGATGAGGATGCTACATGAGAAAAGAGTTCCTAGGTAATAGTGCTTCACATGGAGTCAGACTGGAGTACAAATATATATAGAAATAGAACTAGAACTACAGCATGAGGAATGGCTATTTAGCCGAGACTTCTTGACTTGTAATGTACCAGTGCTTTATGCTCTACATTATTCTACACACATATATAGCTTAATTGATGGAAAGTCCTATATGATACGGACAAACTAAGTTTTATTCTCCATGCAGTTGTAGCAGATATAATACACTCAATTATATACTCTAGCCCGAAACTGAGAAATGGGAGTTGCTCTACGGTCCAGCAGTCCAGTCGGTACATTTTTGTCGCAGGTGAATCAATGTGTGCTAAACTTAAAATATTTTTTGTTGGAATTTATTTTAAAGTATGGTAGCTTTCTTGACGTAATCAATTAAATCTCCATAGAATTTTAAATCGATTTAATGAAAATGCTTAGTTATCAAGAACGGACGGAGAGCCGAGTACACGGAGAGGCAGACAAACAGATGGAGGGCTAGACATATAGACGGTTAGTCGATTACATGAACAGACAGATAAACAGACGGAGAGACAGGCTTATTCAGCAAGGAACGAACGGATAAGAGGATAAGCAGGATAGGCAGATAAATAGGCCGACAGGTGATCCGGCGTATGCATGGACGGACAGCAGACAGCAAAGAAACTTGAAGCTAATGTAACCTAATTAACTAGCAAAATATATATGTGTGTGTCCGTCCAAGCGGGACACTTACCTTTGTCCACAATCACTCATCTTGAGTGACCGGCATAATTCTGAGCAAGTGTTGCACTTTCATTTCGCATATTAAGGGAAAGGGTTTGGAAATGGTTTGACCCGTCAGTTTGCTGGTGCTTTAATTGCTCCTTCTCACATAATTTGCTGTTCTTTTATTTTGTGTTTTAATAAT